GGGATCATGACCTGGGCCGAAGGCAGACGCTTAACGACTGAGCCACCCAGGCGCCCGGTTATTTGGTTTTTATAATAACGGAAAAATCGTCTCAGAACCCAGCGCCCCAGATAGAGGCTGTAAACACCAAGAGTAGCTTTTTCCGTTCCGTCTTGTTCCAGGACGACGCTGTAATTCAGCATGTCCACGGGGAGCTGACGGCGTCTCGGTGACCGCTGGAGTCCCTCGCGTGACACTGTGGCCCGCGGCAGGCCGCCGTCCCCACCCTCCCCGAGGAGGTGGAGGTGCTCGTGTTCGATGCTCTCCCTGGGAGCTCTGGCCCACGTCCTAGCAGGAGACCGTTGTCTTCATTCTTCCGATGCATTCACATCCATGGTTTTCATAACCTGCCACTTGCCACTCCTAAAATTTATTTTCAGAATGAACTCTGTGTTTTAGAACGGTGTTTATTTACAGAAACACTGTGAATGAAGATAGGACAGAGTCCCATATACCCCGCTCCTGGTTTCCCCTGTTACTAGTATCTGTTGTTAGTGTGGTACATTTGTCACAACTAATAAACCAGTGTTGATTCGTTCTCATTAACTCAAGGTCATGCTTTGTATTCAGACATCATTCATTTTTACCTAATGTCCCTTTTTTACTGTTCTAAGAGCTCTTGCACGAAACCACATTCACGATGCTGTGCGTCTCCTTAGGCTCCTCTCGACCGTGACAGTTTTTAAAATTTTCCTTATTGTTGTTGTTTTGCTTTTTTCTAAATTTTTAAAAAGATTTAATTCCAGTATAGTTCACACACACTGTTACGCTAGTTTCAGGTGAACAAGATAGTGATTCAGCGCTTCCGTGCATCACCCACCGCTGCTCATCCCCACAGGTGCCCTCCTTAGTGAGTTTTCCTTGTTTTTAATGACCTTCATTTAAAAAAAAGCATCTTTACAAGTTTTGTTTATAATGATATTCAACACTTGTGGGGTCACCATTACATCAGTAAATAGCTCAGTCTGTGTTAAATTCTTTGCTTCTTCCCTCCTTTTTTTTCCTGCTGATTTTTATCAGCAGGCCTCTGTAAGTATCCCAAATTAGTCTTGACTGAAGATATTTTAAGCTCATATGTCTTTTCCATACAGGACTTAGTTAAAAATAAAATAAATGATGAAGTGACTCTTTAAGGACTGGAAAACAAAGTGAGTCCCTCTTTTCTGAGAGACATGTTTTTTGGGAAAAATTTCCATGCACATTTGGGCATATATGATATTTTTCCTATTATGAACACCTAAGGATAAACTTGAGCTCTTTTAAATTTAGTGCATAAGGTTAATTTTCTTTTTCCCTAGAAGAGTAAAAGCTAACTTTTTGATTCTACCTTTGTTTCTGTGTATATATACACACATACACCATATATATACACACATACCCATTATACACACACACACATACATATATATGTTATATTCACACATATTACACACATGTATACGTATGTAATATGTGTTATGTGTATAGTGTATATATGTAATGAAAATCAAGTTTCTTACCAGTTTACTAATTTGTGGATATTATTTCCTTTTAATCCATGTTTTTGAGAATGAAAGATAGAAGACAGTATGATAGTTTTAGGGGTCATTCTTTGGGTTTGTCTCATTTAGATATCAAAAGTAAAATATTATGTAAATTACTCCTTAAAATAACTAAGATGGAAACTTATAGCAACATAATTTTCTAAAATTTTAGAAAATACATTGTTCTCTTCATTTATGTTTAAAAACAAATCAGTCCTTTCATCCAACCATTTCACAAGAAATTATGGTTTCATGAATTTAGTAACTAGAATTATGAAAATGAAAGTATTATGTGTGTTTCCTTTTATATATACGGTCTTTTCCAGTTAATTGATTTAAAAAGTCAGATTTGTCATAGTGAATCCATTTTCCTACTTACTTCCAATTTCTAAGTAAAATATTGGGGAAAATTGTGATAATGACTTGAGATTCAGTCGTGCAGCATTTGAAAGTCAGATGTGGTTCAGTTTAATGAGCACTAATTCAGCACCTGGTAGGCTTATTCATTGTACTAACAGCGTATGTAAGTCAGCATTGCTTAGAAAAACAGTGAACCAGTAAGTCGTAGCATTTAATTCTTTTTTTTAAATTTATTTTTATTATTATGTTAATCACCATACATTACATCATTAGTTTTAGATGTAGTGTTCCATGATTCATTGTTTGTGTACAACACCCAGTGCTCCATGCAGAACGTGCCCTCTTTAATACCCATCACCAGGCTAACCCATCCCCCCACCCCTCTCCCCTCTGGAACCCTCAGTTTGTTTTACAGAGTCCATCGTCTCTCATGGTTCGTCTCCCCCTCCGATTCCCCCCCTTCATTCTTCCCCTCCTGCTATCATCATCTTCTTCTTTTTTTCTTTTTTTTAACATATATTGTATTATTTGTTTCAGAGGTACAGATCTGTGATTCAACAGTCTTGCACACTTCACAGCGCTCACTGTAGCACATACCCTCCCCAATGTCTATCACCCAGCCACCCCATCCCTCCCGTCCCCCACCACTTCAGCAACCCTCAGTTTGTTTCCTGAGATTAAGAATTCCTCATATCAGTGGGGTCATATGATACATGTCTTTCTCTGATTGACTTATTTTGCTCAGCATAATACCCTCCAGTTGCATCCACGTTGTTGCAAATGGCAAGATTTCATTCTTTTTGATGGCTGCATAATATTCCATTGTATATATATACCATATCTTCTTTATCCATTCATCTGTCGATGGACATTTTGGCTCTTTCCACAGTTTGGCCATTGTGGACTAATTCTTTTTAACCATAGGCTCAAGAGGATGCTGAAAAGCTTCGGTCTGTTGTGATGCCCATGGAGAAGGAAATCGCGGCTCTGAAAGACAAACTGACAGAGGCTGAAGACAAGGTTAAAGAGCTGGAGGCCTCAAAGGTCGTGAGATGCTGTAGCCTGTTCCTTGAACCCGGGACCCTGACCTAATGCTATGAGCAAAGTTAGAGTCACTGAGGGGGTACAAACTGGAATTTAGACTGTGTGTCTTAAAAACCTTGCATTCTTTAAAATGTAAAGAAGAAAATGCTTGAAGATGATTGTGTCCTTATGGATATTTTAAATAATCACAATAGTGATGTGCCTGCTGCTTTGTTAACAAAGTTAGTGCTCATGTCAAAATGACACCAGGTCTCATTCGTTTTCTTATCAAGGAACATAAGCTGTTGGAAGTTGGCTTTATCTCCTGACGCTAGTCCCAGAATTGATGTCTTAGAGCTGATGTAGTTACAGTGCAGCTGGACTTGTTGGCCATAAAGATACAACAGAGGAAATACAGAGGGAATGTTGAAAATGTTGATAATTAAGAGAAAGTAGGAAAGAAAGCAAAAAATAATAAAAAGGTAGTAAACAAAAGCACAGCATAGGAATGTAGAAAGGGGGAATGTGTCCATGATCCTAATAAATGTAAACTGATAATCACCTGCTAAAATAGTTGGGATTCTTGGGGCGCCTGGGTGGCTCAGTCGTTAAGCGTCTGCCTTCGGCTCAGGTCATGATCTCAGTGTCCTGGGATCGAGCCCCGCATTGGGCTCCCTGCTCGGCGGGAGGCCCTGTTCTCCCTCTCCACTCCCCCTGCTTGTGTTCCCTCTCTTGCTGTATCTAAATAAAAATCTTTAAAAAAAAAAAAAAAGAAAAAAAAATAGTTGGGATTCTTAAAAAATCTAAATTTATATTGTTTATAATAGACACACCTAAAATAAAACTATAAGATAAGACTGAAAATAAAGGGATATTTAAAGATAGGCTCTCCAAATTCTACCCAAAAGAAAATTGATATAGTGATTGTAATATGAAACATTTAGGATGTAAGGGAAAAAGACTAGAGATAGAGGGACCCCATCTAAAAATTCATCAGTAGGATGTGACAGTTGCGATCGAATGTACCATATATACCTTGAAATTTGTGAACTAAAAGGGACAATTACCAAGGGAAATTAATGTGCACAGTTCTAGTAGGAGATTGAAACTGATTTTTTTTTTTTTAAGATTTTTTTAAAATTTATTTTGACAGAGAGAGAGGGAACACAAGCAGGGGGAGTGGGAGAGGGAGAAACAGGCTTCCCGCCGAGCAGGGAGCCCGATGTGGGGCTCGATCCCAGGACCCTGGGATCATGACCTGAGCCGAAGGCAGATGCTTAACGATGGAGCCACCCAGGTGCCCCTGAAACTGATCTTTAACTGATAGTGTAAGCAGAGAAAAATGTTAGTGGGGATATAGGGGTTTTGAGCAATCTGATTAACAGTTTAGACGTTAACAGATCCATCGAGAGAGAGACTGCGTCTTCTGTGGTAGCAGAGCATAGGAATCAGGAGCTCAGCAGTTACTGGCTGGGGGACCTCGAGCAAATTACTTCATCTGACTGTGCTTTGCTTTTCTCAACTGTAAAATGGGGATAATTGTACCCTCCTCATAAGGCCACTACTGGATTTTGTAAGTCCACATGTATAAAGCATTTAAGATAGTGCATGGGATAAAGTAATTGTTAGTTTTAGGTACATTATGCTTTACATAGTGTCACAAAAGGACGTGCTGAAAAATTTTGAAGAATTGTTATGTAAACTCAGATGTCTGACCACAGGTTTTTAAATTATTTACAGTAAAATGGTCGCTAAAATAAAATGGAAATTAAAAAAAAAAACTCATGGAAAACGGAATTCTAAAATACTTAGAGTGATTTGAATGTTTTACTCAAGAATCCAAAAAGGCGAGCAATAGTACAGACAATACGAATACAAGGAAATAATACACTTAAAAGCAGAAATTAGTGAAATAGAAAAGCCAAAGAAAAATTGAGAATGTCAATATAATGGGAAAAATGGGAAAACTAGTAAGATAGACAAACCTCCATTAAGACTAATCAGGAGGGGGGTGCCTGGGTGGCCCAGTTGTTTAAGTGACTGCCTTCGGCTCAGGTCATGATCCTGGAGTCCCAGGATCGAGTCCTGCATCGGGCTCCCTGCTCAGCGGGAAGTCTGCTTCTCCCTCTGACCCTCCTCCCTCTCATGCTCTCTCTCTCTCATTCTCTCTCTCTCAAATAAATAAAATCTTTAAAAAAAAAAAAAAGACTAATCAGGAGGGGCACCTGGGTGGCTCAGTCAGTTAGATGTCCGACTCTTGATTTCCACACAGCACGACAAGATGCAGGGACAGGGCATAAGCACTGGATGGAGACCGTGAAACGATGATTGTGTAGAAAAGCAAGAGAATGTACCAACATTGTTAGACCCAACAACAGTTCAAGAAAGTTGTTCCAACAAGATCAACATACAAAAATATATTCTCCAGTAATCTATCCAAGTAAAGAATGTAATGGGGAAAAAATCCCATTCATAATAGCAAAAACAAAACAACAAACAAAACCCCCCCAAACACAAAAAAACTAAAATCAGCTCTATGTTGTAGAGTCGTAGATACCTGAGGATATATCTAAACAAAAATGGTAAGATTGTTATGGAATACATTATGATGAAGGTCTGAGCTCATGTGTGTTCCTGAATGAGAAAATAATGTATTATAAAGCAGGTAGTATATCCCCAAATTAATCTGAGTTCAAAATTCCACTCTGAATACAATAGGGTTTAATAAGGAATTTGGAAGGAGGCAAGGTGGGGAGACTTGCCCCGCCTACCAGATACTAAGACTTATAGTAAAGCTACTGTAATTAAGATGCTTTGTTACTGATTTGGGGACAGTGGACCAGTGGAACAGAATCAAGAGCCCAGAAACAGAGCTGGATGTGTGTGGGAATTTGATACAGGACAGCTGGCCTTGCCCATCAGTGGGAAAGGAACGGCTTGTTAAAACATAGCCATTTTAGGGTGGCTCAGTTGGTTGACTGTCCACCACTTGATCTCATCTCAGGTCTTGATCTCAGGATCATGAGTTCAAGCCCCGTGTCAGGCTCCATGCTGGGCGTGGAGCCTACTTAAAAAAATAAATAGCCTTTTAAAAATAGTTTACGTTTTTTTTTTTAGAGCGAGACAGTGAGCGCGGGAGTTGGAGGGGAGGGGCAGAGGGAGAGAGAGAATCTCAAGCAGATCGCACACTGAGCAAGGAGCCTGATGTGGGGCTTGATCTAGGACCCTGAGATCATGACCTGAGCCAAAATCAAGAGTTAGGCACCCATAAGTAGTTTTAAACACAGAATAAAGTGAAATCAGCTTTTTACCTCACACTTTTCAAAAATTAATTTCAATGAATTAAAAACCAGAGAGTGCAAAGTAAATCTTCAAAACTTTTAGATCTTAAAAAAAAAAAAAAAGATGTTATTTGGGGTACAAAAACATTAAAAAATTTTTTTTAATTTATTTTCGGGAGCATGAGCAAGCATGAATGTGCGTTGGAGGAGGGGCGGGGTGGGGGAAGAGGGACAAGTGGACTCCACACTGAGCCAGGCACGGGGCTCGATCTCACAACCCTGAGATCATGACTGAGGTGAAACCAAGAGTCGGATGCCTAACCGACTGCACCACCCAGGTGCCCCAAAAACGTTTCTTTCTTTTTTTTTTTTTAAAGATTTTATTTATTTGACAGAGAGACAGCACAAGTAGGCAGAGTGGCAGGCAGAGGGGGAGGGAGAAGTAGGCTCCCGGCTGAGCAGGGAGTCCAGTGAGGGGCTCGATCCCGGGACCCCGGGATCATGACCTGAGCCGAAGGCAGATGCTTAACGACTGAGCCACCCAGGCGCCCCCATAAGACGTTTCTTAGAGACAAAAATACTGTGAAAGAGAAGTTTGACAGATTTGCCTACATTAGAATATAAACCTTCCTTATTAAAAGATGCTACAAAAGGTTGCACAGAGAAGTTGTGGGCTGTTAGGAGATATCTTTACCTCCTGTACCTGATGAACAATTAGTGTCCAAATTAGTAAGAGCTGCTTGGTCCGTAAGGGACGGATGGCCCAGAGGAGAAACCGTAAAGAATGTGAACAAGTGGTTCACCCAAGAGGAGACCAGAATCGTCACAGAACGTGACAAGATCCTCAGCCTCACGGGAAATCAGGGAAGAACCCTCCCTAGATTGCAAGTGTCCCTGTACAGATTTGTTGCATTTTCCCACTGTTTCCAGCTTCAGCTGCCACTATCAGGTTGGAGACTCAGTTGACAGTTTTGGGGTTCTTGGGGCCGTCATCCTCTCCCTTTACTTTGTCCCGTGTTGATGCTGATACCCTGGACGTCCATAGAGGTAGCTTTCCGTGCTGGACCCCACCCTCTAGCTGTCACTTAGTTTCTTTCGTGGATGTCCCTAATTATTCATTGAGTCGGATATCTATGCTGAGAAGTAGCAGTAGATGGACTTACTGGCCGTGTGCCACCATTTTATGTCTGCTGTACGGACTCTCGCTATCATCAGCTGAATCCCCACCCTCCGCGGTGGCTGGGACGCGCCTCACAGCGGCCCGCACTGTGTCTGGTTGGCCCACAGCCTCCAGCGCATCCCATGGCAGCTTCCACAGTCCTTTCAGCCTGTGCCCACTACTGACATCTTGTGTTAATGGTCTAGGAGGAAAGACACCTGAAAACAGGTCAGACGGCGTTTTCAAGTTGGAAGAAGTAGGAAGTTATAAGGCAGGAAAGTGAAATTAGACATAACCATCTGAAAAGCTGGCATAAATAACTGGCCACAATTTAGGATGGGTAATATGTAAGACAGGGTAAAACAAGTGATTCTGTATCCACTCTCTGGCGCGAGATTGCGTTTTATTTCGGTTATAACTATTTCAGATATTAGACTATCTTGTTAACAGTTGAACATTACAATTAAACAGAAGGCATTTTTTTTTTTAAAGATTTTATTTATTTGAGAGAGAGAGAATGAGAGACAGAGAGCACGAGAGGGAAGAGGGCAGAGGGAGAAGCAGACTCCCTGCCGAGCAGGGAGCCCGATGCGGGACTCGATCCCGGGACTCCAGGATCATGACCTGAGCCGAAGGCAGTCGCTTAACCAACTGAGCCACCCAGGCGCCCAGAAGGCATTTTTAAAAAGATGTGATTTTATAAAACATTCCACACTTGCCTTCAAGCTAGTGTTTATTATAGTATGAGACTAGTTATTTTTCCCATCGTGACTTCCTCTTTTTTCCTTCCAGTATATGTGTCCATGAAAATGGGTCCTTTTTAAAAATTCAAAGCATTTGGAACCACCTGACCAGAAATCAAGGAGAAACACATTTACTAGAGTGTGGCACTACTTTTCTCTTTAGGAATTAACTACTGTTTAAAAACCCCCACAACAACCTAGTGTTACTGAGAATGTGACAAAATGAACCCAAGTACGCGTTGCTCTGGGAATGCAAATTAGAGCTAGCTCTTTGGAAAGCGAGGTACAAAGCTCTTACATGTAATCGCCGTTGTGTATTTGCTCTGGCGATATGATTATGGATAATACCTACTATTCTATTACTTTCCTAGTTTTCTGTAGCAAGTATGTGTTTGTTCTGTAATTAAAAATTGTTAACTGTAATAAAAAGTTAACTTTTAAAATTTTATGTAAAATGTAAACATAAATGTAAATTATTTTCAAGGCATCTAGAACTTACCAATATACCTAAAGAAGAAACTATTACTTTAGTTTCATAGAATTGCATTTTGTTTCAGGTTAAGGAACTGAATCATTATCTGGAAGCTGAGAAATCTTGCAGGACTGACCTGGAGATGTACGTAGCTGTTCTGAATACTCAGAAATCCGTTTTACAGGAAGATGCCGAGAAACTGCGGAAGGAATTGCATGAAGGTATATATAGATTCTGTATATTTTTAGTCTCAGTCTCTAAGTAGAATTGATGCTGATTAAAAGCAATAACAAATCCTAGACTCCAACATGTTAGTGATTCACTTTAAGCTTTGCAGTTGGTTCAAATGTTCTCCTTGAAGGGCTGGAGCCGGGAGGTCTCCTAAAGGTACGTGGATTGTTAATAGCTCCTCTTTCCTCAAGGACTCCAGGAATAACTTCACAAGGCATGAGCGGTGGACAGAAAGACAAGAGGGCTGGGAAGTTCTGCTTAAACTGCTTTTGCCCCCAAGATTCATTTTGATGGAGGTAGATTAGCAAGAGTGAAAATGGGACAGAGGGCAGATCGTATATTCTGGCGGCCTCAAGTAGCATCCCTGTTCGTAAGGGACAGTTTTGATTTCACTAGCCTGGTAGCAGAGTTCTACAGAAATTGACTCCGTTTTCCCCAGCCTGGGGGAGAAGGCTTATCTTTTCCCCATTAAAATAAAGATAGTGGTTTTTTGTTTTTTTTTTTAAGATTTTGGTTGTCAGAGTGCGTGAATGCGTAAGCAGGGGGAGCGGCAGAGGGAGAGGGAGAGGGAGAAGCAGACGCCCTGCTGAGCAGGGAGCCTGATGCGGGACTCGATCCCAGGACCCCGGGATCATGACCTGAGCCGAAGACAGATGCTTCACCGGCTGAGCCACCCAGGTGCCCCTTACCTGGGGTTTTTAACCTTGTTGTGTCATGGACTCCTTTGGCAGTCCTGTGAAAACCTCTTAAGGATACTGTTTTTCATTCCTAAAATACAAAAGAAGGCACTTATGTTATGAAACAGTAATGAAAATATAAATAACTGCCATCTTAACGATGCAGTAACAAATGTGCTATTTTCTTAATGCATTAAATGCGAAGGTTTGGGGGCGGATCTGGTGGAGGCTGTGGTCCAGAAGCGGTGCCGAGCCTCAGGGCTGTGCCCGGGCACCTGCCGCCACTGTGCATGGGTATGGCCTCTGTTGGCCACCGGGTCGCAGGTGCTGTCCTCCTTCCTGGGCTGGGTTGCCCACATTGTGGGTAATTAAAGGAAATGATAAATTTCAGTGAGAGCTTGGTAAACACATGGACCAACATTTCCTCATCTGGACGCACGGACGCCTTGAGACCTTGTACGTGTTGTGGGTTATACTAGGAATGTTTGCACAGGGGGTTTTAGGACTGGGGTGAGAGAGTCCTACAGCAAATACTTTTTATGTATACCAAGGGCCGTGGGAAATAGAGCTCTTCCCTCAGTAATTTAGGCTTGCATATTAGTTTTTTTCCCCAAATAGTCAGAGCTGAAATTCTATAAGCCTACAGAATCATTTCGTAAGACATTAGGAAAATCACCCAAGGTTTGAGCAGGTCTTTGGTTTTTAGGAAGCGCTTTTTGGAGGTAGTGCTGCCTCCTAGAAAGACACACAAACTCTGAGAGTGTCCAAAAGAAATAGGAATTTCCATTTAAACGACGTGCCCCAGGCCTTCCTAACCTATCTGGAGAAGTATCTGAGAAGTCTCATTAAATGAGTAAGGGCATAATTTCCATCCTGAAACACTCACACCAAAACTAGTACTTAAAGGAAGAGAAGGTCCAACTTGAGCAGCCGTGTAACTTACAGCCTGAATCGGGAGAATTAGCCAAGTTAGCGCCTCTCCCGGGAGCCTGCTCGCAAGTGCGCTAGGAGGCGGCCGTGCGCAGGTGGGCTTCTTGAAAGCAGTTGTGAAGGGGGCTTTGACCGACAGGTGACCATTTGTCAGGTGGCCAGAGATGAGCCTGATGTTCAAGGCCATTTGCATGTGGTGCAACAAGGTCAAGGAGTGGAAGAAGTTCGTTCAGCAAAGTTAGGATGCAAAGGGCAGGGGAGCAAATGCGAGCCAGATTGTGGTCACCGTGGGCTGAGGGTTTGGGATTTTATCAGATGGGCAAGAAGGAGCTTCTGAAAGGCTTTTCAAATGTTTTTCTTTCGGGCTCCCTGCTCAGTGTGGAGCCTGCTTCTCCCTCTGCCTCTGCCTCAATCTCTCTGTCTCTCATGAATAAATAAATAAATCTTAAAAAAAAAGGTAAAATGTTTTTCTTAAATAACAGCTTTATGGAGATATAATTCACATGCCATGAAGCTCACTCTTTTAAAGTCTACTAGACTCACAGAGCTGTGCACCATTATCAGTCTGATTTCTACAACAGTTTTGCTGCAAAAAGAAGTTCTGTCCTCATTACTAGTCACTTCCTTTTCTCCCCTTCCTCCCAGCCCCCGGCAGCCTTGGTCTCCTTCCTGTCTGTGCAGATTTGCCCGTTGCACTCCAAACATGTGGCCTCATGTTTGGCTTTTCTGAAGGGGTTTCAACTTGAGGATGGTCATCTAAATTTTGTACTCACGAAGTTCAGTTTGACAGCGGTGTGGAGGGTAGGCCAGCGAGCGGAGACAAACGGGAGGAAGCGTACCGGTTGTGGGGGTCACGAGAGCTGGTCTGAGGCCGGCGGAGGAAAGCGCTGTGTCCCCCAGCACAGGGCAGCTGGTGGGCGAGGCACGTCAGCCGCGTGGCTGTCTTCTGGTTTCCGGCTTGAGTGGCTGGTTCGTCCGTACAAGACGGCCGAGTGGGGAGTGTCGGCAGTATCCGCCGATACAGAGAGCCTTTGACCTGTCCTGAGACGTCAGAACTGCGCGGGGTGGGAGGGACTCCTGGGTCACAGATTTGTCAGGAGGTGTCTGGAGGCACTGAGGAGTGGTCACTGCGCCTGTGGCATTTAGAGCAGTAGCTCCCAAGTGTCTTCCCGGAACTTCCCTTGTTCTGTGAGTGGCACTGCTGGGAGGACTTCCTGGTCAGAGGAGTCGGGGGAATACTGTATTCTGTATCCTCCTCCGGGAGAACGCGGGCATACCTCAGATGCTGAGCTCAAAGTCCCGCAGGGGAGGGTCCTGTAAAGATGCACTTAAGCAGGGTCTCCAGCGCTCACGGAGCACAGAAATCCTTTGTTCACGTGTCGCTGTTACTGGGAGCACACTTGGGAGCCTCTGCGTGGGGAGAGGTGTGAGGACAGCTGCTGTGTGTCTGGCAGCAGGTCGCCCCTCGGTTCTTGCCCAAGGTGGGGCCCCAGACGGGGCGGACCGTCGGCCAGACCTGGTCTGGGGCCCCAGGTTACGGAAGTGCCTACCGCTAAGATGCGGTGTTTCTGACGGGGGGGTCCTCAACAGTGTGCCATCTCTTGGAGCAAGAGCGACAACAGCACAATCAGCTGAAGCACACGTGGCAGAAGGCCAATGACCAGTTTCTGGAGTCTCAGCGTTTGCTCATGCGGGACATGCAGCGCATGGAGATCGTGCTCACGTCGGAACAGCTGCGGCAGGTGGAAGAGCTGAAGAAGAGAGATCAGGTGAGCGGTGGCTCTGGGCATGTGCTCGCTCTGCTGGCGCCCACGCAGGCTTGGCTCGGAGGCAGCGGACGCTCGCACGCTTTCAAAACGCGTGATAGCTGCCTCGGAGGGATTTTGCTTTTCACCTTTCAGAGATGGCCTTGTCTGGGGGAGAAGGACTGATTTAGCAGTGCTCCTCTCTGGAAACTGCAGGACGCAACAGTGCGTATTTCTGAAAAAATCTTTCTCCACGGCTCTGTCACTTCTCCCAGGGCTCCGGGATTCTGTTTGTCCGGGTCACGTCTTCTGTGACGTTGCTCTGAAAGCCTCACTGGACGGTGACGGCGTGGGGGGCGGAGGGGGGCTGAGTGATCCCAAAGGACAGGGGTCCAGAGGGCTGCTCACCCGAGATCCTGTTTTCTCCTTACCTTTTAAAAAGCTATCTGAATTACATGAGTAATACACAAATACCTCTCAGGTTAAAAATACAACAATAAATACAAGTGATAAAGGAGAATCTCCCCAGCCACCTCCCTTCCAGAAGCGAGCACTTCTGTCCTCAGAAGTCTTCCTGTGCAGGGCGGTCCTCCTGGGCATTTGTCTGCGTTCGGAAGTGGGTGTTCGGGTTGGTTCAGAGGCGGCACAGGGAACATATTCTGTAACCTCTGCACCAGAGAGCTGTCACTCTCGCTCACTGCTGGGGTGGACACACCGTGAGGGACTCGATCCCTGCCCCTGTCCCGGCGCCCAGACGGCTTCCCGTTCTGTGTTCTTCATTTCAAACGGTGGTGTGGCTCCTCTCCTGCACCGTGTTGTGCGTGGGTGCAAAGATCTCCCCAGGAGAGCTATGTAGAAGCCCTTCTAGGTACTGTGCAGATTGTTTAGATTGCCTTGTATGACTTAAGAAGTTTCATCCTTTTTAAAATTTCTGTCTTTAATTGTGGCTCGTTCCTCTTCTGTGTAGACACAGCCAACTTAAGGATCGAAACAGTCTAGATGCTGGAAGTGGTCACTTAGGGCCTGTATTAACATGTACTGAGGTTTTTCTATGCGGGCTTTCCGCGGTGTGCCCAGGCTTTACCTGTAAAGCTCTGTGTCATGCAGTTCCCAGAGCAAACAGACACCGCAGCGTCCCAGGTGCAGTGCGGACTGTTGGCAGATCCCAGGTTCGAAGCCCGTGCCCTCGAGTTCCTGTGTGCCTGCCCTGTTCTCAGCCACAGCAGGATACTTGGGGTCCCCTGTGCACCTGCCCTCCCTGGAGCCCTTGCTCACTCCTCACCCGGTTGGCAGACTCCCCGCGCTGATCCTTCCAGATCCAGCACGTGCTCCTTCTGTGGGCCCGTTTCCAGCTGCCTCCGTGGAGAGCGTGACGTTGCTCCCGAAGAAGCTTGTGTCCCGCCCGTGAGGCCGTTCTGGGGAGCACCGAGGTGCCTGCTCATCTGTGTCGTGCAGACTGTTACATTAACTTCAGCCATTCGTTTTGTGTTCTGCGTGAATTTGTACCTCTTTCTAATGGCCGCGCCCTGCCTGCGTTCTGTAGTTGTCTGATGGGACGGCCGCGTAAACGCTCTCGGATCCTTGACGTGAGGGTGTGTTTTGTGTTGCTTTCTCATAGCACGCTCTTCTTGGAAGCGGCTTCCTGATTTCTCCTCTATGACGGGCTTCGTACTTTGTGCCTGTGGTGGTGAAACCTTTTGTCAGGACCAGACATCCAGACAGTGACTACAAAGCGAGTAAACTTCAAGGCCCGGTGTTCTCATAAAGCTTCGTTCTCTTTTATCTGTTTTGAGCGGCTGAAGAACTATGAGTGGTGAAGTGTAGATCACCCGGGTGATGTATGTATGTATTTTCTTTAACTTTTAGGAGGAAGACGAACAACAGAGATTTCACAAGAGGAAGGACCACGACAGAACAGAGGTTGAGGAGGAGGCAAAAGCCGCGTCTGTGTGTGCTTTCACGCACGAGGAGTCTCCGGCCCAGCTGTCGAATGAAGAGGTAGGGTGAGTCTGTCGTTAGGGCCCCGTGTCCACGGCGTGGCCGTGTGCGTGCGGGAGCGCAGAGCTAGAGCGACGGTATTCTTTCCTGCCGCGTCGGCGGGCTCACAGCCAGGGCTCCGGAAACATGGGGTCCTCTTACCATCGCTCAGCCACATACAGGCTCTTTTTCCAGGGGTTCTCAAAGTAGGGCAGTAGAAGCGAACTTAAAGGACACCTGCAAAATCTCTGCGGGGATGAATAGTAAATGTTGCCAGTACTTTGGCTTTTACTTTAAAAGATGAGCTCAAGTCCTCAAGCCCCGAACCCCCCACAGCACATGCTTGCATATCAGCGGATCTGAGGCCCTGGGCTGTGAGGACTCAGGTGGAGTGGGGAGCCTCGGACGTGCAGAGTGGTGTTCCGGTGGCCTCGGGGCCTCTCGCCCCCCCCACCCACGGAAGCAGGGGCCTCCCCGTCGGGTGTCCTGTCTGCAGCCTCTCGGCCACCTGCACCCCAGCATTACTGTCCCCTTCCCTGGTGGCAAGTGCAGCTGCAGCCAGGCCGCTCCCCTCCTCAGAGACCACACGGGCTCCCGTGACGGGCACGACGAGGTTCCACTTCCTGCTTCACACCGTTCCAGCCGCAGTTGCCATCCTATCGTGCTTGCACGCTGGCTCCTTCTTCCGCCGTGCCGCCTCCCCTGCCCGCTCATCTTCAGGACGCAGGCTGACTGTTGCCCCTTCGGGATAGGAATGAAGGCCTCTGGCCTTCGAGCCCAGCGTGGCACCGAAGGGCCTTCACTGCTGGGTGACCCTCCGTGCCTCCCACACCCCCACGTCTTCACAGCCAGACCCGTCTCCGTGCCGGCCAAGCTCTCGCGCCCCGCGCCCACTGCCCCCAGCCCCATCTCCGTCCCCTGGCCGGATCGGATCAGGTCTGTTGCCACTTTCAGGGGTACCGTGTATCTGTGTGGTTGGCATGTGTATGCTCAGCCCTGTGCAGTCTGCTTCCTGGTGGCTTATATTTCCATGTTTACGGATTGTTGGACGTGAAAGTTTTAAAAACATCCTAGCGGACACGGAAAAGGATGACGTAATTGTTTTTCTACATTCTTTGTTTTGGGTCGTACACTGAGAACCACTTGGCCTGATTCTGCTGTGTATTTTTTTAATGGTCAGACTCTCAGGAGAGTGTTTCAGTTTTTGGGTACTGCCAAGTATTATGTGGTGTCTGTGTGCAGGAATGTTTGAAAAAGTTTCAGACTTTCCAAAAAATATTTTAGCAGGAAAACAGGAAAGAGAGATTTGTTAGAATGTACAGTGAAACATTTTTGACATTTTTTGATTCCGTCTTCATTGGTCTAGTATATATTGTGTGTCACATTATTTCCAGACATTTAAAGTATATTTTAGGTTTTCAGATCTGGTATTTTACACTTTGAATGTGGAATACGCTTGTTTTGTATTGAGACTCATGATGATTTACTTTCGCCTGTTGATGTAAAGTTCAGAGTGGCCGCTTCGGAGACTTAGCTTTATGGCTAAAGATGATGAAAATTTGTAGGACCTGATACCTTCTTTAGTCTGATGTGTAGAGTATCCTTTTCTCACTGCAAAAGTAATGTGTGTTTGCTGTGGGAAATGTGGAAAGTACAGAAAGGGCCTACGAAACAAGGAGAGCTTCTGGGTGATTCTGCTGCCCAGAGATGAACTCCACTAGCGTTCTAGTGCAGACCCCTGCTTCCTTTCTGTTTCTTTTCTCTGTTTCCAGAGTTAACATGTGTGTGTTTCTGTTTTCACTTTTTAGACATAACCCATATTGTAACTCTACATAATATTGTATGTAAATTTTTTGCACTTAAATCTATCTTAGAGGTTTTGGCATATCAGTAAATGTTTTCCCACAAGTGGTATTTAATAGCTGACAGCATTTCGGCAAGCACATGCCCCATAATTCCATCGTAACTGATTTATGCCCAGGCCTACAGGTCCACGCCATTGGAAGAAAAGTGTCATGTTGCTCACAGTGTCCCTAGAAGCGAGTCCCTTGCCCTGTGCAGAGCCACATGCAGATGCGGCAGCACTGGGTCACGAGGCATGGGCAGGAGCAAGTGGACAGCACGTGCCCCAGGCATTACAGGGACTTTCGAGGGCAGGGGCAGGGCAAACCGCACAGGGCTGGCTGGTTTGAGGAATACCGGGGGGCGTGGTGTAGGGTCTGTCCTTGGTTTCCTGGTGCCTGGCCCCAGGTTGATTTAGGGCGAGGGGCGTAGTGGCGTGGGGTCGTGAGGGCAGGTAAAGGAGGTGGTTGGGGGCTGGACACAGGATGGGTCGGGTGTATGTGCGAGCGTGTTCGTAGGCGACTTGTGTCTTAATCAGAGGAGTCAGGTGGCTTGGAGGGCCCGTCTCTCCCTGGCCAGCAAGGTCCTCAGAATGGGAAAAACATCGTAAAACGTAGAAAATGAAAAACAGGAATGACAGACTAATAGATTGGTTCCACCTTTCATTAGTGCGGGAGTTCTCCTCATTATGAGGAACAGCATAATGCTGTTGCATGTAACTCTTCCCTGAACAGAACTCATGCTGGACTGTCCTGATTGCTCACCTTAGTGTGCGCTACGGGGAAAGGACCGCCGAGTTTAAGGGCATAGACGTTTTCAGGTATCGGCACATACTGTTGAGTCATCTTTGAGAAACCCCCTACAGTTCACGCTGCCCTGGGAGCGTGTGCCCCCTGTGTGGTTGCGGGCTCCGTGGTCTGGCGTGTTTCCTGCCGCCGCCCCCTCCCCTCCTCCATGTCCGTGCGGCAGCGCTCGCGGGAGGCTCTGTTGTAAGCCAGCAGCAGGGATCCCCGTCCTGGCTTGTATCGGGCACTTACTCGGGACCGTGGCCGTAGCTACGGCAACACAGACTAGATGTGTGTTCCTCAGCCATCTGAATCTCGCAGGTGAAAAAACATCTTTATACAGACAGAAATGGAGGAATTCACTTACAAGTTTTGTATTTCATAGTCTTCTCCAGTTCATAAAGGAAAGGGCATTTAACAACAAAAAGTAGACGGGATATTATCTTGAAACAAAGGCTGGTCCTTTAAATTGAATATGTTGAATTTTAAGAATCACTTGCTGCACATTTCCGGTTTTCTGGGTTTCTGGGTTTCTGGGTTTCCCGGTCACTGTGCGGCTGCCTCGTGGGGCTCACTGCTGTGCTGTTCGCACGTCGGGAACACCTGCCCCGCGTGTCTCTTTAATTGAGCTGAAATTCACACGTCCTAGAATTAACCACTTGAAGCGTGCACGCACCGTGTCTGTCTGGGTCCCCCACCCCAGGGGACCGCACGTCCTCCAAGGAGTCACTCTCTGGCTTCCTTTCCCCTCAGCCTTTGGCATCCACTGACTGGAGTTACCGGTTCTGGACGCTTCGTGTGCACGGAATCACACAATGTGTGTTCTCTCACTTGCTGCCCCCACTTAACATGCTTGCAACACCTTCCGGCATTCGACATTATTCTCATTTCCCTTCCACTCAGGCTACTCCTTCCTCCGTCCATCCCCAGAGTGGACGAAATTGGTGTTTCTTGGGGCTCTGTCCTCAGCAGACCCATCATAGGTGTTCCGAGCTGCTGCTGTGACTTTAATTATCATTATGTGGTGCTCCCTCTCCGGCCTCTGTCTGAAGACTTCTGGTCCCGGTGTCGGGTGCGCATCTCCACGTGAGCGGACGAGAAGCACCTCACGTTGGCGCACGCGGCACTGGGCTTCGGGGGACCTTCCCTGACCCTGTGTCTGGGCTCAAGCCCCACCCCCCCCCTTGAGCCCCCACCCAGAGCATTCAGCACGGAGCTCTAGCCTGTCATCTCGTCACATACGGTATTCTAGCAGCTGCTTGCTTGCTTCTTTTTTCATGGAACTGCACACATGTTGAGGTCAGGGTTTGCTCACAGCTGTGTCCTGAGCGCCTGGCTTAGTGTCCAGCATATAGAAGACACCGGTAAATGTTTGTTCAGTGAGTATGTGACGGGAGCACGCTCAGGATTATCGTATGTAACGTGTGGCAGACATGTTTACGATGCGGTCATTTTGTCTCTGAAGTACAGAGTCATCTGACTTGGCCACGTGTGTTTTCACATTCCAGGAGCATTTAGATAGCACCCACGGGTCGGTGCACTCGCTGGATGCGGACTTACTGTTGCCGTCTGGAGACCCGTTCGGTAAATCGGAAACAGACGTGTTTAAAGACGGACTCAGGAGAGCACAGTCTACCGACAGCTTGGGAACCTCAGGCTCCCTGCAGTCCAAAGCTTTAGGCTATAACTACAAAGCAAAATCTGCCGGAAACCTGGACGAATCGGATTTTGGACCGTTGGTCGGGGCAGATTCGGTGTCTGAGAACTTTGATACTGCTTCCCTTGGGTCCCTGCAAATGCCAAGCGGGTTCATGCTCACCAAAGATCAGGAGAGGGCGATCAAGGCCATGACACCCGAGCAAGAGGAGACCGCGTCTCTCCTCTCCAGTGTCACCCAGGGCGTGGAGAGTGCTTACGTGTCCCCCAGTGGTTACCGCCTGGTCAGCGAGACCGAATGGAACCTCCTGCAGAAAGAGGTGAGCTGTCCTCCGGACTTCCTCTCTCGCGCGCGCTGTGTGGGATAGCGGGTAGCTGTGGGGTTTGCTGTCGGTTCACGAGATAACCCGGAGTCCCTGCACGCACGTGACTGCCGGTCCAGGGGGCTGTGGCCGAGGAGGGAGCTGACTGGCCGATCACGCTGGCTGTGAACTGCCCCCCCTCCGCCCCCCGGAGTCCCACCTGAGCTGGACCACAGGCAGCTTTCTGTTGGAGGAGCCTAAACCCGGTTTGCTCTGCACTTGTCTCCAGTCTCTCCTGGAGAGCTGAAGCGCAAATGCTTGTCAGCAGTCGATGAGCCAGTGCGTGCGTGTGAGGAGGGGGCGGAAACTGCGGGAGAGAGAGGTTCATCTTCCTCCTAAGCGTGTTTGCAAACTCAGAAGTACGATTAGGAGCTCAACTTTACGCCTTGCGCAGTGGCTCGCAGGTTCACACAGCCCTGTGTTCCAGCTTCGGGATGGCAGTGTCGTCGTCCCCAGCTTTACGGGGGAGGGCTTGGCTTCAGGCTGCGGGAGTCGTGCGGGTGTTCCCGGGAACTGGGAGCAGGGAGATGGGGGTCAGGGGCCGGGTTCTCTGACTCGCAGCACTTTCTTTCACGGGGCCCACGTCTCCTGAAGGAACTGTTGAGCGGAACCGCAGACGAAGCCTCACAGCAGCCGCCCCCCCTTGGTCTCACGCAGGACGCGTAGCTTACGGGGTGGCGGCTTGTGGTTGGCCCGTGGGCGCTGGGTGCTCCCGGCCACGGCCCCTCTCCTGGTGGCGTACTCACTCATGGTGTGTGGCTCTCGGCTTGGGACCTGTGGCCTCGTGTTTTCCTCCAATGCCGTATCTCGTGGCCCTTGTTTTCCTGTCGTGTTTTTATTGGCGTTTACGGCATCTTAGAATCCAGCCCTGTATTGCCATAAATCTCTGAAGACATTGTCTACCCCGTCCCTGTTCCCCTCTGAGTAACGTAGGTACGACTGTGCGTGTTCAAGTATGCGATGTGGAATTATGTTGTTCTGCCTGATAAGAGGTCATTTTGGTGCCTTCAGGTACATAACGCGGGAAATAAACTTGGTAGACGTTGCGATATGTGCTCCAATTATGAGAAACAGTTACAAGGGATTCAGATTCAGGAGGCTGAGACCAGAGACCAGGTGAGTTTCTTTCGGCATGCCAAACTGCTGATGTTGTCCTTCTCACCGGAGGCGCAGAAATAATGGCTTCTTCCCTCCCATTTGCTTGGTGAAGTGTATCCCTGTGAAATACGAAATAAGCCGGTTTGTGCAGCGTCAGCCTCATTCCCCAGGGGCCACAGCAGGACCTTCCCTTCTGTCCCTTCTGTCTGGGCTTGGTTAGCTAGCCTAGCACCACGCAGGCCGGCTGCGCTCTCGCAGGGCCAGGAGCACCGGGGCATCGGATTTCGCCGCCTGCGCTCCTGCTCGCGGCCGCCGGCCACATCGTCAGGAGCGTGCGCCCCTGCACAGTGCTTCCCCATGCGGGGCCTGACGGAGCTGCAGCTGACTGCGAGAAGCTTAGTTGAATATCATCATGACCATTAGTTAGAGTCTTCATTGCTTATTGCCTCCTTCTTGTCAGAAATCTGTTGAACTGATTAAGGTTAGTTTTCAGGAGCACAGAAATTAAGATTTGGTAGATTTTGCATGCAGAGATTGACCCGTACCTTTCCTAATACAGCGTCTAATGATGGATTCCTTGAGAACATTTAGGGAATGTAGAATTTCAGGAGAGTAGGCTTGTGAAAGGATATAGAAGGAAAAGATTTGTCTTATATTTCCAAATTGTTATTTGATTATTGTAAAGATTGTTCCCTTAGTTCCCTTAAAATAAAGTAAGCAGATTAGAATGATGGTTTAATATTTTCAAATGCCATTGGCTTTCATTTCCTCCGTATGTACTAGTTTCTGTAGATGCTGGAAACATAAATTTCTAGAGGCACAGAGGGGCATGTAGCCTCACTGTGCGCTCAGGGAAGGTAACGCTTGAGCTAGGTTCGTTTTAGAGCTGGAATAAAAATCAGGAGAAGAAATGGGAAAGGGTGTTCAAGGACAGGAAAGGTGGCGCAAAGGAACAGTTATGAAGGGGACCACTGTGTTCTGGAAGCACGAATTGCGCATGGGCTGTGTGGGGGGCATGGGAGGGGAGAGGACGCTACAGAGGGAGGCCAGGATGAGATCACTGAGGGAGCGGTGCTGGTGGACGGTGTTTGGATTCTGCCCTGAAGACTTTGGGACGCATTTAGAAACTCCAAGTAGGGAAATAATATGATTTGACTTTTGTTTTAGAAAAAATCATAGTGTTAGTGCGGGTTGCAGATTGGAGGCCAAGGATAGCCCAGAGTAAGGGGGCGGCGCCCTGGCCTGCAGGGCCAGGCGGAAGAGCAGACCTTCTCGAACGAGGTAACGTACGTGAGAAGGGATTTGTTAACCATAGAGCACGGCACCGACCCCGAATGAGGTCAGTCGTTCTGAATTGACAAATCAGGAAGAAAAAAGATGAGGTTCTTAAAATTTCTAGAGCTAGGGCTTTTTTTTCCATGAATGAAAGAATCCTCGGGAACTTGTCCCTATTGGCATTTACAATTGAGCAGGTGAAGAAACTGCAGGTGATGCTGAGGCAGGCGAATGAGCAGCTGGAGGGGACGGCGAGGGAACGGCAGGAGCTGGAGGGCGCTCTGAGTCGCAGCGCCCAGGACGCCGGCCACCAGGTACGTGGGGCCGGGGCACCCCCATGCCACCCGCCCGGATGCCCGCGCAGCCCAGAGGCGGCTGCTCTGCAATCACAGCCCTGTCTCTCCCCCACCTGAGCCCTGTCTTCCCTCAGGGAGTAAAGATCTCTTCCGGGTCTGTTCCTGCTGTCGGTCTTCCAGATATTTGACCAGTAACTGCGTGAATGACTGCGTACTGGATATCCACAAGCTCTCGTTTTTCTGTTTTCAGTAGGTTTTTCTGCTGCACACAAAAAGCTTCCTGACAGGAATGATACTTTTTTTTTTTTTTAAAGATTTTATTTATTTATTTGACAGAGAGAGAGAGACAGAGAGAGAGGGGACACAAGCAGGGGGAGTGGGAGAGGGAGAAGCAGGCCTCCCGCCGAGCAGGGAGCCCGATGTGGGGCTCGATCCCAGGACCCCGGGATCATGACCTGAGCCGAAGGCAGACGCTTAACCATCTGAGCCACCCAGGCGCCCCACTTTTTTTTTTTTTTTAAAGATTTTATGTATTTATTTGACAGAGAGAGACACAACTAGAGAGGGAACACAAGCAGGGGGAGTAGGAGAGGGAGAAGCAGGCCTCCCGCCAAGCAGGGAGCCCGATGTGGGGCTCGATCCCAGGACCCCGGGATCATGACCTGAGCTGAAGGCAGACGCTCAACGACTGAGCCACCCAGGCGCCCCAGGAATGATACTTTTTAAATTCCCCTGGGTTTGTTAAATGTATGACAAATGGAGAAAACTCAGACCTGCACAACAGACCCAGCACACCAGCACACCCCTCCGCGTCGCCCGCCAGGGCCGAACAGCAGGACGCGAGCCCGCGTGCCAGGCCCGCCCCTCCTGGCTTCTGTCCCCATCCGCTGAGTCCGCGTGTGGCATCTCGTCTTCCTCATGCGGCGTCGTGAGGCTCTTCTCACCCGACGCTGGGGCGCCGGCTGCTTCCCCGTGCTTGTCGTCCGCTTTGTACCGTGTACGGAGCCGTCCGTCTGTCCGTCGCGACGCGCGTTGGGTGGTTTCCGGCTCTGCGATGTCAGGCGTGATTCTGCTGTGAAGGTTCCGGATGGGTCTTGTGGCGCCTGCTTCTGCTGGGGGTGCCGTGCCCGGGTCGGGGTGTTCAGAACGCACTGCGTGTGTAACAGTGGGTGACAAGCCAGACCGTGTCCACGGTGGTCGTCCACATTTACACTCCCGCCAGCACGAACGGGGAGTCCCTGTGGGCCTGTCGTCCTGGTAGCTGGTGGTGGTGCTTCACGGAGGCTTCGTTTGCATTTGCCTGAAGACCCCCGGGCATTTGTTTGTCCTGTTTCTGGACCGCTGGGATATGCGTGTGTGTGTGAGTCCTCTCAAGTCTTATGCCGAGTTTCTATTGGATTGTCTAGTCTTTGTTTCATTTATCTGTTTTTGGTTCTTTTTCCGATTTGTTAGAAGCTCTTTATACAGTCGTACTAGAGCCTTTTGGTGACCTGTGTGGCACATGTCTGCCCATCAGTATTTTATGTTTTCATTATTTTAATGGTGCCTTTTGATGAACAGAAGTTCTTGATTTTCATGTAGTCAAATTTATTGATCTTTATGATGGGTGATTTTTGTTCCGTTTTTTAAAAGAATATTTTCTTGGGGCGCCTGGGTTGCGCAGTCAGTTGAGCATCCAACTCTTGATCTCGGCTCAGGTCATGACCTCAGGGTCGTGGGACTGAGCCCCACGTCGGGCTCTGAGCTCAGCGGGGAGTCTGTTTGAGCTTCTTTCCCTCCATCTTCCTCCCCCTCTGTTCCTCTCCCTGCTCATGTGCTTGTGCTCACTCTCTCTCTAAATAATAAAAATCTTAAAAAAAAAAAAAAGAATATTTTCTTACCCTGGTGTTAAAAAGATGTTTTTATGTATTTTTGTAGAAGCTTCATTGTTTGTAGTCACATTTATATCTAAAAATTCATCTAGAACTGACTTTGCTCTAGATGCTGTATAGGTAAGGGTGAAATTTTATTTTTTCCATATGGATAGCCAGTTCCCGTACCACTTAAGTTCCTACTGCTCTGCAAGGTCATCTGTGTCATTCATCAAGTGAGTGACAAGTGAGGGGGGGGGCGCGTCAGTTTCAGGACTCTGTTCTCTTCCATTGGTCTCTTTGTCTATTTCTATGCCACATTCTCTAGCCCTCGTCTCCTAGAATGCCCCCCCTGCTCTTCCGCTTCGGGGGCCCTGCCCTGGCGCTGGGATCAGAGCCTGGGCCCCTGCGCCTGCAGCTGTCGCGGCTCTACGGTGGGGCGGTCTTCGCTGCCACGGAAGTGGGAAAGCCCCCTGTGAGCAGTCAGTTCCCTCCTGGGTCAGTTGCTTCTTCCCCTGGTGACTTCCTTCTCTCATCTGTCTGCCTTTGCTTATTTTTCAGAGTCCTTGGGTAGCTTTTGTATTTATCCAGAGTTTTTAGTTGTAATCAGGGTAGAGAAAGGCGGCTGTGGGCCTCGTCCGTCTTGGAAGTCTCCGCGCTCTCATATTTTTGTTTATTTAGACGGATCTTTTTATTTCCGCCTTCATCCAAGAAGGATACTTGGCCGGCTGTGGCATCCTGAGCACTTACGCTGATCTCCTCCAGCACTTGGAAGTTACTGGTTTGTTCTGGCTCCCCAGTTTCTCATAAGAAGTCCACTGTCGGTCTTACTGTTGCTCCTTTAGGTAAAATGTTGTTTTTTCCCCTGGCTATTTTAAGGATGCTCTTTTTGGCTTTTGTTTTCAGCAGTTTTACTGTGCTGTACCTACGTGTATTTTTTTCATATTGCTCCTGTTTGGGATTCTCAGAGGGTTTCTTAGATTTCTGAGTTTATGTCTTACATCATAATTGAAATATTCTCAGCCATTATGTATCTCTTAAAACTTGCTTTTATTGAGATATTACAATAAAGTGCATAAATCTCAAGTGTAAAATTTGGTGAATTTTAACATGTGAAAAAATTTACCAGGGCGATCATCACCTGGGTCAAGATACAGACTTTCTGATATATCGTGCTCACAGAGCTGCCCGCGCAGAGAGGCAGGCAGGGTTCTGACTTCGAACACTGTTTCGTAGTGCTCACTCTTGAACTTCGTGTAAGTTCAGGGGAATCCTGTCGTTTCATCTGGGCTATTTGATTCTTCTGTGCGTGAGGCCCCTGCATGTTGCTGCGTACATCGGTGGTTAGAGATTCTTGCTGTGTGCGTTCTGTTACACGGATGTAGCATGATGTATCTATCCAGTGCAGGTGGGGACGCTTGCGTTGTTTCTAGTTTTGGCTTTTGTGAACATACGTTTTCTAATGCTCCTGTGTGTGTCTTCGGTGGATGTGTGGCCTCATTTCTCTGGAGCATCCCTCAGAGTAGATTACAGGGTTTCTGCATTGGCTTATTTTTAGCTCCACTGGGTCGGCGGTATTTCTTCCAATACTCATATATGTTAGTTACACCTGCACGTTGTGGCTACATGGCTTTTTAAGGCTCTTTTGTATTTTTGTCTTTATTTTCTTCAGATATGTCTTACAGCTCACTGACTTTCTCTTCAAATGGGTCTAATCTGTTAAAACTCATCCATTGAAATTTTTAACTTAGATAATTGATTTTTTAAATTCTGTTTATCATTTCCTTTTGGTTACTTTCCATTTTTTCCAGTTCTCTGGTAGTTCTAAATTCTGTCTTTTAAATCTCTGGACATTTTAAAGTCTGTAATAATTCGCAAATCTGGATTCATTTTAGATCTGTTTGTATTACCTGTGTTGTTTTTTATTATTTCTTTTTGTTTTTATCCTGTCCTTTGTGCATTTTTACTTGAGCGCTAGACATTTATGTGAAAATGTTGAAATAATATAAAGCCATTTTCTTGGGGAGCCTGGGTGGCTCAGTCGGTGAAGCGTCTGCCTTCGGCTCAGGTCATGATCCCAGGGTCCTGGGATCGAGCCCCGCAGTGGGCTCCCTGCTCAGCCGGGAGCCTGCTTCTCCCTCTGCCTCTGCCTCTCCTCCTTGCTCATGCTCTCTCTCTCAGATAAATAAATAAAACTCTTAAAAAAAAAAAAAAGCCATTTTCCTGATGAGAGGCAAGCAACTAGTGGGCCTTACAATCCTGGACCACCTTCATCCAGCCACAGGAATTGAGATTATACAAACTTGCAAAGGTCAGGTTAAAGTCTTCCCTAACCCTCTGGGGACCCAGTCCACGGGGCAGCGTGTTTCCCAGGCTCCCTTTGCACGGTGGGTCCTGGACTCTCATGTCTGCCCCCCCACCCTGGGGCGCTCAGCTTCGTGGTGTCACGTGCGTTTCTCTTGGGACTGGCACGCGCTTCTAGGGAAGAGCTGTTCCGTATGCCTCTTGACTCTCCACACGGCCTCCGTCTGGTCCGGGGCTCTGTGAATCTTTTTTGCCCTGTTCTCCAGTGCCTTCAGGTAGATACCATTCATATTTTTGTCTGGTTTTCCTAATTCTCAACAGGAAGTTTGTGTCCACAACCTGATCTGCCAGTGTGGGAGGAGAGTACTGACACTAATCATGTTCTCAATGTCCAAACACATGGGTGTTGATTTATTTTATAATTGTTACATACGAGTCCCCAGCTCTCCCAGGACCCCTCTCAGAAACATTAAAGCTAGGGGACTTGAGAGTTCAGTGATGTTAATCATGTGTTTATTGCTTTTAAGGAAATCACCTTGGAAGACTGAAGCTAGTTCAGAGAAGATCCATTTATGCTTTACACTGTGTGCTTTTTTGTGTGTGTGTGGGCAGAGTTCAAAATCTTTATTGATTTTTGCCTAAAAGCTCCTTAAAGGGTAATATAAGTAGGCCCTGTGGATTGACATCTGTGCCTAGAAACCCATACAGCACTGTCCGTGTACGGCAGGGCATGACCCCGGGGACCTCTGCTGCCGGCCCCGTGTGACGTGAGGGGCCGAGACACAGAGGCATGCACGTCTGTGGAATGAGTGATGATGGGTTATGATAAAGGAAGAAAACACCAGTTCTGGATATGAAATAAGCAGGGGATGGAAGGGTTCTTGTCAGAATCACCGGCTTCCTAACGATACTGTCTTTGTGCATTTTGTCTTTTAAGATCTCTGCACTCGTCCTAAGAGCCCAGGCGTCTGAGATCTTACTTGAAGAGTTACAGCAGGGGTTTTCCCAGGCAAAAAGGGATGTTCAGGAGCAGATGGTAAGTTAACATTTAAATCAGCATTAGCCGTGTTAAATAGATTCCTTTTTGTTCGGTTGTGAGACCCTCTTTGCTATGACTGTGTCTCCCTGGCCCAGTGGCCACACTGTTCTGCTCTCTGGGCCCGAAGCAGCATTCGTAATGGACAAGCCTATGTAAAGACCTCACTCGTTTTTTAAACCTGCCTCCCAACCAAAAAACATTCTCACCTTTAACTTAGTTTACTTTTCTGACTTGGGCAACCTCAACAGAATAAACTGTCGACTCATAGTTGGTTCCAAATACAAGGTGAACATTGAAATCTCCCAAAACCCCAGCAGATGGAGCTTTTGAACCGTGCTTGTACTTTTCCTGACCCGCTGATTGATCGAAAGTAGCCTCGTTAGCCTCACGGGCATTGACCCATGCGCCACCACCGCTGTGCTGCGGGGTTACTTCTGGAGGCCGTCTGCCTTGGGAGGGACGGGGCAGACAGCTTCTGGAAGAAGAGCTGGCTGGGACCCCTGCTGAGGAGCTCCCCGGACTGGAGCCTCCTTCCTCACCAGGCTCGTCCCGTTTGCCTGTTCTTCCTTCTCCTCGAAGCTGGAACCCGACACCTGATGACCCTTTGTAGGTGATGGCAGAGTTGGCCCTGCTGGGATGATCCCACAGAGCTTTCTCTCGTCCAGCTCCGCCAGCAATGGTGGGGGGAAAGCCTCTGGCTGTATGGGAATGGTTTGTTTTTGACCGGCAGCCGGTCAGCATCTGAGTGCCTTTTGAGCTGATCCCTAAATACTAGCCCTGGTCTCTTGAGGAGCATCTCATTCTAATCATTGACCAGGGACTTCCATACCTTTTCATTGATCAGAGAATACGAAATGATAGCCGTCAGTGTAAAAATCACTGCTGGATGCCGACAGAATTTCAGTGCTTATTAGCTCCTTTCCCTTCTCTCTCCTCTCTCCTCTCCCCTGCTTGTCTTCTCAACCCCGTCTGCCTTTGCAAACAGTTCTGAGTGGACTCCACTTAAAACGAATGTGTTGCAGGCCACGTAGAAGAAGCGTTCAGAGGAAGGTTGGGGTCCTGCCCGACCATCTTCTTGACTTGATCTTCGAAGGTTCTTGTAGCGAGGAAGAGGGACTCCGTTTCTTTGTCCCTTCACACGAGCAGCCATGGCGTGCCTGGGATCTTAGCATCCCCCCAACAGTGTCTGTGCAAAATTGTCCGTCTGGAGCGGCTTATGGATTGAACACGCCTAATGTCTTCAGTTAGACTTACCAGTTGTCAGTATTTGGCCACATTTTCACGCGTGCTGCTGTTTTCTCCATCTCTTCCATCTGTGTGTGTGTGTTTTCTGAGCCATTAGGAAATCAGTTGCAGACTCCGTGCCACTCGGGAATATTTGCGCACGCGTCTCCCGAGAACAGAGAGGTGGTTCTACTCCACCAGTGCTGTTCTCACATCCTTAAAGTGTGACCGTGGTCCCCAAAGTGCGTGGTTGTTTGTAGAGGTGGTTTCAGTTTTTAATTCTGACTTTTTGATGGAGGAACCAGTCAAGGGTCACATACTGTTTTTGACTGTCTTGTCACTTTAGTCTCCGATAATCTAGAACAGTCGCCCTTTTATTTATTTATTTATTTATTTGGGTGTTTTGTGACATTAGCATTTTTGCGGAGCCCAGACCAGCTGCCTCCTAGGATCATGTGTCTGGTTACTCCCGCACGACTTGGTTCAGGTTAGAGGTCTGGGCGCCCACGGCACAGAGCTGTAGCGCGTCAGTGGGGGCTCCGAGCAGCAGGGGGCGCGCTCTGTCTGGTCACTTGGTTGGGGCAGGGACACCACAGTTTCCGAGCGACCACCTTAGGGCTGCCAGCAGCAAAAGTATTGAGTGAGGTTCCGTGTTTCTTTGTAGCTCTTGCTCTTTGAATGTATCCCAGCTAAGGATTTACGGTCAGCCTGCTGTGTTTCCAAAGTTACTTGAATTAACTATTTCCTTTGTGGTTATGTTACTAGTTTGATACGTGGTGAGCTCCATTTGTTTCTGTTTGTATTACATTTTCGGATTTTCCTTTTTCTTTTTTGATTTATTTTTTTTTGAACATGCAACATGGTTCGTAAGTCAAAACTATAGAAATGGATACATGTTCCGATTTCTTCCATTCCCTATTCCTTTCACGCCATTCGTACCCCCTTCCATGTATGATCATTTTAATTTATTTTTGGTTTATCCTTATGCTTTTCTCTTTACGAAAGTAGGAACTATATACATTTTATTCTTTCCCCCTTTCTCATGTCCCAGAGAGTGGAATGCTAACATACTGTTGTAGATGGGTTAAAAGTGAGCATAAAGCACAGTTGATTCTGGTCTGAAGATAAGGAAGAGCCAGCAAAATTAACCAAAATTTATGTGTGACCTTGCATGCCGTCCAGCAGCCTTTCTGTCCTTCAGGATGCAGCGATCACCTTCTCTGGGAAATGACCTTGAGCCTCTCCCCTCGGAACCCCTGTGTCCTTAGACCCTGCTGCCCCCGTTCTCTGTCCTCGTGCTCGCACTTGCCCTGGGTTGTCACTTTCCTGAGCTCTCCCTCCACCGCACCGTGAGCTTCTCCCGGGAGGAGGCTCTGGCTTTTATCTCTGTGTCCCCCGTGCAGCACAATGCCTCGTATGGCGTGGCAGCTGCTAAAGGAATGTTGGAGCAGTGAGTAGTCTACACTTACACATACGTTTAAGTTAAACGACTGAGGATTAAAAATTAACAGAAGTCAAATACTTTTGTAGAAATAACACTCAAATTAGCTGGAATAACTTTTATATTGATTCAGATTCTTGTTACCTAAAATTATACTGCACGTCAGCACGTAGAAGTAGGAGCCTGTCCCATTTTAAGAATGAGCTGCTCAGGTGTCCTGTCCTAAGCATGGGTCCTCCTGATGACTTCCAGTATTTGGGGTCGTTGGGCCACTCAGAGATCCTGAGCTGATTGTGTATATATATGTGTATTCTGTGCACGCACGCACGCATGAAGGAGGAAGACGGTGGTCTTTGGCTCTCCCTGCTTCTGGTGAATGTGTGCTGTGAGGAGACGGGTTGTTTTGCAATATGTGCTGCAGGTCTGTTGTAAGACCCGGCTGCGTCAGCGCGGGAGACAGAGGTATCGGGGAACAGATTCAGTACTTTGAAGCTGTTGGTGGAGGCCGTGGAGAATGGGCTCAGAGGCTTGCTTCCTGCCTGCCTCCTTGAGTAGAAGGAAAAACTGCAGATAGAAGCGTCTCTGGGCGGCTTCTTGTCAGTCGTACAGAGCGTTGTCATGCGCCCCCCGTCCTCAGCCCTTCTTTGGTTCGGCCTGGGTTTTCTCTGGGGCAGCTCTCAGCGGACAGGACTCAACCTGTGTGGCTGTGACTACCGTTTGTGTTTCAGGCGGTGCTGATGCAGTCTCGGGAGCAGGTCTCAGAGGAGCTGGCGAGGTTACGGAAAGACAACGACAGTCTGCAGGGAAAGCATAGCTTGCACGTGGCCCTGCAGCAAGCAGAAGACTTCATTCTCCCAGACACTGTGGAGGTAACTCGTTTTCCACGGGATCAAAGATGCAGACAGATACATTTTCTGAAATGGCTGCCAGCCAGTTCGGGCTTAAAACAGGCTTTATTGATAGAATTCACCCATGTAAAGCGTACAGTTCAGTGGTTTTTAGTATGTTCTCGGATGTGACCACGGTCAATTTCAGAACATGTCTATAACCTTAGAAAGAAGCCCCTTGCCCTTCCTGCTCCCCTCCGCCCTGCCGTAAGCAGCTGCTCACCTCTTTTCCTCCTGTGGATCGCCCTGCTGTGGACTTCCATAGGACTGGAAGCCTGCAGTGTGTGGGTTGTGCGTGGTTCTTCCTCACAGCCGACTGTTGTCAGGGTCACTGTGGTGTAGAGCAGCGTCCGAGCGCCGTCCCTTCTTGTGGCCACGTGGACGCTTTGTTTACCTGCCGGCCTGTGGTTGGGCATTCGGGGTGTCCCCACGTGTAAACATCCACGTGCACATTTGGGTTAGTTTGTCTGGGGGACAGACCTCGGAGCGGAGTCGCGGGGGCCCGTGAGGATTTCTCCCGTCCTCGCTGTACCTGTCTCCCTCAGCTGACCCTGAGCGTCTTCCTGTGTGTTTACTGGCCAGTTGTCTATGTTCCTTGGAGAAGTGTCTATTCAGATCTTTTGCTCATTTCTAAATTGGGTTATTTATTTTTTATTGTGGAGTCATATGGTTCTCTGTATGGTCTAGATCTAAGTCCCTCACCGGAGAAACGATTTGCAGATCTTTTCCCCATGCTGTGGATTGTGGATTGTCTTTTTCCCTGCCTTGACGGTGCCCTTTGAAGCACAAAAGCTCTGAGCTTACGTATTTTCCCTCCTGCCGCTCATGCTTTCAGTGTCCCAGGAATCCTTGGCCGAATCGCTCTGTGAGTGACTCCGGCAGGACCAGACTGAGAATGCATCAGAAATGAAATGTGTGAAGGGTTCGCCAGGCTTGGTTTTCTGTATCACACTGTAAAGGGTGGATGGCACCTGCCACCCTCCTGCCCTTAACTTTTATGACACGTTGGGCACTTCTGTTCCTCTGTCATTGGGTGAATCTGGGCTGTGAAACCACCTGCTTCCCAGAGACGTTCATGACCGTCTCCCATCTGTGTACTGACTGGGCCTGAGATCAGACAAATCTGGCGCATTCACATCTCCTGTCCCTCCGCACCCTCGTGTTGCCCCGTTGTCAAATCCTTCAACATCAGCAAACCGCATCTGAGGCTAAACCTAAGGAGACTGTAAACAGTATAGACAAGGAAAAGATTTCTTTGAGTAATTTTCAAAATAAAATAGATGTTACTTGTGAGATCTTTCAGTTTTTTGAAAAAAATTATAGTTATCTAAAAATCAACATTACAGAAATTCATAGTTTTGTAACAGTTTTCCCTGATCCTGTCCTGCAGATCCAGCCTCTACAATTTGGGCCTCATTCCTTTTTTATTCCTGTATACATATTAACATTACTACTGGTTTTTGCTTTTATTTCCTCCTGGGGCCACGTGGCTGACTTGCCACTGGCACCCTGTCTCTGCCCCCTGCCCTCCAGCCCTGTGTCTCTGTGCAGGTCGCTGGTGCTCCCCTTTGTGACCTGGTGGCTGATCTCCGCAGAGAGAGTTTGAGAGTTTGAGGGCTCCCAGCACTGCCCCCTTCTGATGAGCGGTTCTCTGCAGGGGTGGGATCCTCTTTCCCGGACTCCCTAGACTTTGAATTCCTAGATTGACCACGCTTCCTAGAATCCTTGAAGGTGTAACCAGTCGGCCTGTGAGGCCTGACTCTTAGACCTGCTCCCGGAGTAAATCTTCGGTGGCTTTCCTTACCACAGTTTTCTCATTACTCTTTTTTCTGCTGTTAACTGATTTTATATACATCTGGTGGTTACCTGAGAATCCCAGCGTTTACCTTAGAGGTGCTTTAGGATATGATTGGATTTTTTTAAAAGAAGACAACTAAAATTTAGGGAAATAAATAGGATTTAAACTGAATTTATTATAGAAAAACGGGATCACCTTGGAAGGCTGCTCTTTGCGCCACGGCCTCTGGCCTAGCTAGCACTTGGCTTGTGGCAGACGTTCAGCAATGCAAGTGTCTGAGTCCACGCGTGAGTAAATACACTTCGTCCTCAGATTCCACACTTGCTTTGGAGTTTACACCTTCTGGGTCCTCACCCCCTAGCAACCCCAGATTTACCAGCTGATTGTGGGAGCCGCGAAGCCCTTCATAGTGATTCCCCCACTCCAAGTCCCTTAACGTTTTTGCTTTTCTGCTTATGAGCCAGTTTTGAGGGAGAGACGTGCAGTCCACAGTGCACATTCCTGGTCGGAAAGGCCTTATTTCCGCGCCATGCTGAACGTCGCCGCGGGGAGACCTGAGGGAGCTGGCGCTCCGTGTTAGATTCTGCACCATTTAAAACCCGCGAGTCTGGTGGCAGAAAATGCCGGGGGGGCTCTCATGGCCGCTGCCGTCACAAACCCGGTGGGCATTGGTTTCTCGGGTGCAGGCGCTGCGGGAGCTGGTCCTCAAATACCGAGAGAGCATCGTGCACGTGCGGACCGCAGCCGAGCACACGGAGGAGAAGCTGAAGGCTGAGATCCTGTTCCTGAAAGAGCAGATTCAGGCGGAGCAGTGCTTAAAAGAGAACCTGGAGGAGACCCTGCAGCTGGAGATAGAAAACTGCAAGGAGGAGCTAGGTGAGCACGCGGCCGAGCTGCGAGCTGAGCTGCGGGGCGGAGTGCAGGGTCCCGGGGAAGTGGGCGGGGACGTGGGCTGTGGGCGGGGGCGGGGGCGGGGGGAAGTGGGCGGGGACGCGGGCCATGGGCGGGGCCTGGGAGAAGTGGGCGGGGATGCGGGCCGTGGGCTGGGCCGGGGAGAAGTGGGCGGGGACGCGGGTCGTGGGTGGGGGCCGACTTTGGGATTATAAACAGTACTGTCTGGTTTCAGAATGTGGAAGGCAGAACGTGGGTAGGGGAGGTATAGGGAAGAACGAAGGGCTTTTCCGATGTTCTGATACATCCAGAGCAAATTCAAATGTAATTGGGACTTAAAAACAACAGAAATCCCCTATTTCGGGGAGCGGAGCTGGCCGCTCCTGGCAGAACCCCGCGGTGTCCCCAGAGCCCTGCTGGGCTGCACCCCCACCCCCAGACTTCGACGTGGTGCAGGACACTTTCCGAGTGGCCTCGCTTGTACCTGAGCTCCGTGCTGCCGCAGGGGGAGCCGGGGGGACTTGAGAAAGGGGCGCTGGTTTCCCGCGCTCAGTGTCTGACTGCTTTTTCATCGTTTGAGATCGAGCTTATGGTAGAAAGGGGTGTAAACGAAGAAAACCTCAATGCAAAATAATCAGTGGGCGCTGACACTTCTCCTCTTTCCCTTCCAGCTTCCATTTCTAGCCTAAAAGCTGAACTAGAGAGAATAAAAGTAGAAAAGGGACAGGTGAGTCTCCTGAGGTTCGCGTTAGTTCCGTCCACAGCGGGGAGTTGTTCCTGGAAGACAGGCCCCGCCCCGCCCTCCGGGAGCGTCTGCCGGCTGCCCCCGCGCTGCGCTTGCTGGGCCTGCTCTGTGCACCGGGACGCTGTGGCCGCGCCGGGTGTCTGCTGCGGGGGGAGGGGGGACAGGCGGGAGGGGATGTTTCTCCCTGGCTTGGGGTCCTCTTGACATCAACAGCTGTGCCAGCCGACCCCGTGACCTGCGGCCCACTGGGCGCGCCCTGCATCCCACAGGCCTGGCCGTCTGAGCCCCTCGTTCACACCCCTCCTTTCCCGCTGTCCATGGCTTCCCCGGGCGGCCTTCGTTCCTTCTAAGCTGCTTGTCTCTTCACGCAGTCTCCACCGACGCCCGCGGGCACGGACTCTGTCCGTCTCTGCCCCAGGCTGCCGAGGCCCTGGCTGAGCAGCACCGCGTGTCCATCCGTGTCCCCGTCCGCTGTCCCCTCCCTCCTCATGCCCCTCGCCCTCAGCTGTGACGGCCTCGCGCCCGCCCTCCACACGACCGCCTTCGGCGTCCTGGCTCCTCGCTGCGCGCCCTCCCCTCGCTCCCGGCCCGCGCTCGCTCCTTCAGGGAAGGGATGGCCTGCGTCTGCCGGCTCTTCTGTCGCCGATCCCTCCCAGTCGTGGGCCTGGAACTGCCCCCTCCTGATCTCTTTTCCACAAACATGCTGTGGTCCCCGGTGGGACTGCACGGCCTCTGGTCCCTCCACAGCCCCGCGCAGTCTGGCCGCCCGGGCAGACCTCACCCGCTTCGGCGCGCGTCCCGTCTTGTCCACGTGCACCACCCATCTGGGCTCAGACTTCAGTGCTCGCCCCGCAAACTGCACCAGCCTGATGTTTCTCTGCCTCCAACACGTACCCCTTCCAGTTCCTCTTCGTACTGAAGCCCAGCTGGTCTTTCAGAATTACTAGGTCGCAAACAACGACTCTGTTGCTGTCCCCAGGGTGGAGCCCGTGTTCCCGGCCCGGGGCCTCTCCCGCGTCTGCCTGCACGGCCTGGTGCGGCAGGGACTCACCCCAGTTCTGAGAGCCGTCACTCCCCCGCCCAAGTACCTTCCCGCCTTCTCCCCTTACCACCCCCTCCTTCCCCTGGAGAGTTTTCTGTTAAGGGTCAATGTCACGTCAGCTTTTCTGGCAGAATTAAACGCTGCTTCTCCGCGTTCACATGCCGTCAGTCCTGCAGCACACGTCTGTCTCCTGACTGCTCCGTCCCCAGGTCTTGGGACCTAGTAGGGACCTGACGGATGTCTGATGAAAGAAAGAGGGGGTCTTGAAGCCTGACCTGCAGGCGCCAGCAATGACAGGGTGGGGACAGGGTGGGGACAGCGCGGCTGCCGTTGTCCAGGGCCTGGGGTGCCCGAGGGCTGGGGCTGCTTCTCAGGCCCCAGGCACTTTCTCAGCTCGGTTTTCCCTTCCTTTCACAGCTGGAGGCCACCCTGGGAGAGAAGTCTCAGCAGCTTGAGGGCCTCCAGGAGATGAAAACCACTTTGGAGGAACAGTTAAAGAGAGAGGCTGCTGCTAAGGTGATATTTTTACGGGTAACTTAATAAAAGCGCTAAGCACCTGGGGTCGCATGCTGCCTGTGTAGGAGAGGACGTGGCAGCTTGGAGCAGCGTCCCCCGAGGGCTGGCGGGCTGGCCGTGGCGGGGAAGGACCTTGTGAGAGTCGGCTGGGCCCCCACGGCCCGAAGCAGTGCTCTCAGCCGCCGTGGGCCCCGTCCCCCCAGTACGTGCTGCCCGAGGTCAGCCCGGTGAGGAGCAGCCAGCGCGAGGCTGACTGGGGGACCCGGATCCTAGAACGGGTCTCCGTGAGCCGTGTGCGCAGACTGACGGATAAAGACACCGCGTCTGTGTTCTGGATAGTTCTGTGTCCTCAGGCTCCCGCGCTCCTGCTGAAGGGTTTCCCTGCCGGGCGGACTGGGAGTCGCAGGGTCGCTGGGGGTGAGGTGAGCAGTGGGTGGCTTTGTACTCACGCCATTTCAGGAGGACACGAGCGGGCTCAGGCCCGGGAAGCGCTGGATTCCGCGCGGCTGTCGTCCCGGAGACGCAGAGCTCGGCTTCCCGGGCCCTGCGGGACTCGGGCCTGTGGCTCCGGGGCCCTGCTCCTCACCGGAAGCTGTCTTGCAGGCGACTGTGGAGCAGCTGATGTTCGAAGAGAAGAACAAAGCTCAGAGGCTGCAGACGGAGCTCGACGTCAGTGAGCAAGTCCAGAGAGACTTCGTAAAGCTTTCTCAGACCCTTCAGGTGAGGACGGGACCCTTCCGGCCAGGCCGCGGCCTGCGCTGGGTTCCTCTGCTGGGTCCTGCTGGCCGCAGCACCGCCTTCCCTCTGCTGAGCGCCCCCCGAGCCACTGCCCCGCCCCTCCCTCCGAGGCCCAGCTTAGCGGGGTCCTCCCCGCGGAGCCTTGTCGCCCCCACGCCCGGCTGTGGTGTGCCTGCTGCCCTGGCCCTCGATGGACGCCTGTGGGGACATTCAGGAGGTTGTGCAGAACCTCCAAGCTCGGGGTTCGATTTCCCCGAACTCGGCTGTGCAGTCTGCGGGGTCGGGGGTCATCCATGCCGCGGTCGCAGCCCTTAGCCTGGGCCTGTCGCACAGCAGCCCCCGGGGAGCGAATTGCTCTTTGACGGACCCTGCGTCTGCCAAACCGAACCAGCTCGGGAAAACCCGGGCCCGAGGCTCATGCGCTTGACTCCGTGTCGCTTCCCAGGTGCAGCTGGAGCGGATCCGGCAGGCGGGCTCCCTGGAGCGGATCCGGGCGATCCTCAACGACACCAAGCTGACGGACATCAACCAGCTCCCCGAGACATGACACCCGAGCGGGACGCCGGCCTGCACCCTGGGTTTTTAACTCCTCTTAGAGCAACATTAATTATTATTTAACTCTTAACCGAAGAAGTCACAAGAAAGGGAGCCCGGAGCGATGCTTGCTTCTGGTGGGAGAGGACGCTGCGGCGCGGGAGACGTGCGCGCAAGGACTTTCCCGTGGGGACAGACGGACACACTGGACTCTGGGGGGGTGGGGTCCGCTCGGTGACGGAGGAAGTGCTGCTTTATCCAACGTTTTCCTGCCTTTAAAGCAACATCCCAATCGTGTTTGGAATTACATTTTCTGTTCCTAGATATTGGAGGAGAGCCTTTCCTGTTTGTTGTCTCGAGTTCAGCAGTAACCGTATTCCACTAGCAGACAGAGGTGTAGTGTGCTGTACGAGTATTTTATATTAAAATATGAAGTTCGCGAGCAGGCCACCGGCTAGGGAGTGTATCGCTCAGCTCAGTGCATTTTCTTTCTTTTTTACCATTTTGTCTTGCGTTGGAGGACCTTCAATGCGACCGAGACTTGCCTGAGACCCACAGGACGGGGCGACACCACCGATGTGGGCGCTGAATCAGTTGTGAGACTGAAAGCGTGGCGGGGCGCCCTGCATTGGAAGCCGAGGTTCGAGGAAAAGCACAAGAGACCGCGGAAGCACTTTTCTGCCCCCCTCCCCGGACGCGCTCTGCAGGCCCACAGGTACCAGGGTTAAGCTGAACGGGCACGTCTGCTCTTTTGAAAACTGTTTTAGTTTAGTTACTGGATCAGTGGAGAAAACAATATTAATAAAACAAGCTATGTCTGACATCTAGCATAAGCTTCTAAATCTGCTCATTTCCACCTCGAGTCCATGGGCCTGTGCGCCTTGTTTCTGATCATCCCAGACAGATGCCTAGTTTGTGTTTCCCTTTTCTGAGCTCAGTGTGGCGTGCATACTGCCCGGGGGGGCCCCTGGGAAAGGCCGTTGGGGTCGCCACCAGGCCAGAGCCCTGCTGGTCGTGTCCGTGAGGTCAGGCCCCTCCCCTCCGTGCAGAAAGCTCGGTGAGCATGAGGTGCCGGGCTCCCTCGCGCGTCAGGAAGCACAGGGACCGGGCTCGTGCTCACTGGCAGCCGGCTGGAGTCCCGCACACAGACGCGTCCTCAGGTGACCCTCGTGCTCGGCGCCGCGCGGCGGGAGTGACTGGATGACGGAGACTGGCTCAGCCACGGTCGACTTAGGGTTCAGAGTGGGTGGTCTTGCAGGATGGGGCTAGCCCAAAGAATCTGTCCCCCAAGGACAAGAAGAGGTCTACACCCCTCATTCCTTGGGCCCCGGGTGCAGTTCTGTCATAATTAGGAATTTAACAGTAAGTACTGATTATGGAAATAGGGCTCTAGGCCCACCACGCATGAAACATTGTTAGTTGGTTTAAAGTTTCTCTGTATAACAAGTGCTACCTGGTTTGGAGAAAGGAACCTGCATCCTCACTGAGTTACAGGAGTTTCAGTACGTGCATGACGAGCCGCAGGCGGATTTCAGAGGACTGCAGCCGGGTCGTAACCTTCCTGAACGGCCTCCACCCGCTCCCGGCGAATGCCGGCACCTCGCAGACCGTTTCCTCCGTCTGGAACCGACGGTGGTCCGCGGCGGAGCCCAACTGGGGGAGCCTGGCCGGAGACTCCTGGTTCTGCTCGGTGTTTCTCGTGTGAAACCACAGAGACGCTACCCAGGGAGGAAGCACTTCTAGAAACCGGGTTGTCTGAGAGACAGGAAGCGGCCGAGGGGTGGGGTTCTGCCCCCGCAGACAAAGGACAGGCCGGCCGGGTTCCCCGCGCGTCCGTGTGCTCGCACGGCTGACCCGCCCTCTCACCTGGAACCTCCTTCCCTCCTGGCTCTTCCGCGGCGGTCACAGCCGTGTCCACCTTCTAGAACTCACACCGGAGGGTGCGAGAGATAACCTGACGCTGAGGACAACCCCGCGCCCGGCGAGGCTTCTCTCACACTGACGTCCGACCCACCCGGTGCCCGTCGGGGACCGCGCACAGCCAGCGCCGCTCTGGACGGTGGTCCTGCCTGTCGGTGGCCCCTGCCCGGCTCTGAGCGGGCCTCGGGGGTGACCGTGTGACTGCACTCAACACGTGTCCTCGAGAAAGTGTTGGCGTTAATCAGCCGCTGCCTCGTTCAGTCCTGGGGTTCTGGCCGCTACCGTGTTGGCTGAGCACGGAGACGCGGGACGGTTTGGAAGGATCCTAGTTCCTTGCTGAACACAATCCTAAACTCCCGCTTAAATACAAAGTACGTTCCAACTTCAAATAACAGCATTTATTAATTATAAAACCAGTATGAAAGACCAATCACCAGGGCCCAGTTCGCCGACAGCGCCGCTGCGTAAGGTAGTTGAGGCCACCTGTCGGAGCCTCCGCCGCCTCGCCCCCCGGGGACCCGCTCCCCGTGCACTCAGAAGTTGACGTGGTTTCGGATATCATTGATCTGCTTCACCATCTCTCTTATGTGTTCGCCCCTGTAAGATCATAAAGTCACTCAGTTCCGGGGACGCAAGGAACGAACGAGGACGGCGTTAACGCTCGTGCTTGAGGAATTAAGCGGTGACGCTCAAGTGTGCGGGAAATGCGCCGCCGAAGCGAACCGTGCGAGGTTTCCACGCGGCGCCGTGGGGCTCGCTGCCCGGGGGCCCCAGCGGCCACGCGACATGGTCGCGTCTCTGCTCCTCCACCATCCTCTGCCCCTCGGTCCCCGGGACCCGTGAACGCGGGCGCGCGGCGGCGGCACTTACTCCTCCTTCAGGACGGACTGGATGCACCTGCGCTGGTAGGCGCTGAGCGCGATGGCGGGCTTCTGCGGGCTCAGCACCTTCTCCATCTTCCGCTGCTGATAGTCCTTCTTCATGGCGACCTCGAGTGTCAGAACACGGGCCACGGGTCGCTGCGCGCCCGCCGCCCCTCGGACAGACGGCGCCCGCCGCCCCGCGCCCCGGCCTACCTGCTTGATGGCGTTGCCCAGGTGCCGCAGCTGCTCAGGGATCAGCTGCAGCTCCTTCTTCATGTCCCTCTCGCTGTCGGACAGAACCGGCAGCTGAGTGTGGAACTGGTGCAGCACGGTCTTCATCCTGGAGCGAGCCGGGCGGGCGTCGGAGGCC